AAAGGGTACTGCAGTAATCATACACGAATTGTATCTATAATTATTTGTATGTGAGGATTTTAAATGCTGATTGGGGAATTTTGACCAAATCAATAAATGTAGGCATGTGGAAAGATATGTAGATTGAAAAAAGTTAATAAATGCTGAGTTTTTTTTTTTAAATAAAAAATTTAGAAAATTCAGATTAGAATATTGAAACTTCCACAAGCCTTAGGGGTTAAAAATCCCATTCTACTTAATATATAGTATAGATTTTATAATGAAGTCCAAAAAAAATGATATATGATTAATTTTCTAGAGTGGTGTTAATAACTCCCACCTTTTTTTTAAGGACCCCCTCTCCTCCTCATTTTTTTAACTTTCACTTAAAAAATTTTAATATTGATAAAATTTCTAAAGATCTACCACATAATTTTTTTTTGCCGCATCCAAAATATTATACACCTAAGCTGCAACCCATAATCTCATACCAATTTTTCCCCAAGTATCTCATCAGCACAGAACCATAAACAAATAAGAGTGAAGAAAAGGAAAAGAAAATCTTAGAGATTGAAACCTAGATAATGAAACAAGACTTTTTCACAGAGTGACGCCGGAAAGTTTCTGGGTGTATGTACCAAAAAATAGAAAAATAAAAATTCTATCTCCAAAAATCAATAACTCGTTGGCCCCCAATTATGTTGGAGAGAAAGAGCAATTACTGGCTCTATTCTGTAAAAAATATCGAAGTGTTCGCCTGGTCGGCCTATGACACTCCTGGGTTGGACCTCAATTATGCTTGTCATCGACTCAACGTCCAATTAGGAGTGCGGCTGGTTGTCCAGAAGAGTAGACGGTCATCCACGTAACACACCGATGCAGTGATCGAAGAGGTAGACAAACTTTTAGCTGTTGTAGTCATTCGAGAAGTGCAGTACCCAAAGTGGCTGTCCAACACCGTCGTGGTGAAGAAGAAGAATGGCAAATAGAGAGTCTGTGTTGATTTCACTAGCCTTAACAAAGCTTGCCCCAAGGATAGCTTCCTCCTTCCACGAATAGATCAACTTGTTGATGCAACGGCTGGACATGAGCACATGAGCTTTCTAGACGCCTACAGTGGCTACCACCAGATCCCCATGTTCAGTCCTGGCCAGGAGAAAATGGCTTTCATCAGCCCTAGAGACACTTACTGCTACAAAGTGATGCCCTTCGGCTTGAAGAACGCTAGTGCGACCTACCAACGAATGGTCACCAAAATGTTCAAGGACTAGCTCGGTAAAACCATGGAAGCATACATTGATGACATGGTCGTCAAAAGCAAGTTGGCCAAGCACCATCTAAGGGACCTTGAGCAAGTGTTTAGAATTCTGAAGACTTACAAGCTTTGATTGAACGCCTCAAAATGTGCCTTTGGAGTAGGATCAGGGAAGTTCTTGGGGTATATGGTGACTAGGCGGGGCATTGAAGCCAACTCCGACCAAATCAAAGCCCTCCAAGACCTCAAGCGCCTACAAAGGCTAAGGAACTCCAGAAACTTGCTGGCATAGCTGTAGCACTTAACCGTTTCATTAGTCAGTCCTCTGATCGGATGAAGCCCTTCTTCCAACTTCTAAGGAAGAAAACCAGTTTTGAATGGGGAAGCCAGTGCTCCGAAGCACTAGAAGATTTGAAGAAGTAGTTGTCTTCTCCTCCCCTTCTATCTACACCTGTCGCCAATGAAGAGCTTTTCCTTTACTTAGCTGTTTCTGATCATGCTGTTAGTGCAGTGCTAGTCAGAGATGATGGAAATGAGCAAAAACTAGTGTATTATGTTAGCAAGACACTTTTAGATACCGAAACTAGATACTTGCCATTGGAGAAATTGGCATATGCACTATTAATTGCCTCTAGGAAGCTTGTTCACTACTTTCAAGGACATACCATCAACGTCCTCACTGAATTCCCCCTCAAGTCGGTGTTTAGTCGAGCAGATTTCTCAGGTCGAACAACAAAGTGGGCGGTGGAGCTTGGAGAGTTTGATATCAAGTTCCAACCTCGAACAGCAATCGAAGCTCAAGTCCTGGCAGACTTTGTTGCAGAATTCACCTCGGGACCAGCTGTCCCCTCCGAAGGGAGCTTGCCTTTGGTCACTATGACTGCCCAGCATAAAGGGCAATCCCCAGCCGAAGCATGAAAACTTTTTGTTGGAGATGTATGGAAGCTGTTTGTGGACGGTTCTTCTAACCAAAAAGGCTCAAGGGCAGGAGTTGTCCTTATTTTTCCTGAAGGATTCATATGGGAGCAAGCCATTCGATTGGGCTGGAAAGCTTTTAACAATGAAGTAGAGTATGAAGCTCTATTAGCCGGCCTGCGAAGTGCAGAACACTTCAATGCGGAGGAGCTACTCGTCTTTAGTGATTCCCAATTAGTGGTCAACCAATTCTCTGGAGTTTACGAGGCTCGCGATGAGCGGATGGCCACTTATGCAGAACAGGCCAAAAATTTGATCAAAAAGTTCCAAGCCATCAGAGTCAAGAAGATTGGCCGAGAGGGAAATGGTCATGCTGACGCTTTAGCTTGCCTGGGTTCCTCGGTTGACTCCAGAGACGACCACAAAATATGGGTGGAATATGTACCCCAACCAAGTATTCGACTAGTCGAAATGGTCCTCTGCACTGACTTGGGCCCCAGTTGGATGGACCCACTCTTGGCCTTCTTGAAGAATGGCACCCTTCCTGAGGACAAAAAGAAATGCACAAGACAAGGCATAGAGCTGCTCGGTTTTGGGTCTCCTCATCTGGCAAGCTTTACAAGAAGTCCTACATGGGCCCTTATTTACTCTGTGTTCATCCAAGTCTGGTGGAAGATGTGCTTTATGAGATCCATGATGGAATCTGTGAGAGTCACACTGGTGGTCGGTCTTTGGCACACCAAGCCCTAACACACAGGTATTGGTGGCCGCGCATGCAAAAGGAGGCCCAACAGTATGTCCGTAAGTGCGACAAGTGTCAAAAGTTTGCTCCTCTCATTCACCAGCCAGCCAAAGCTCTAACCTCCCTCACCAGTCCTTGGCCATTCACTCAGTGGGGCATAGACATTGTTGGACCATTAGCTAGGAGAACTGGGAATAAAAGGTTCTTCATCGCTGCAACTGACTACTTCACCAAGTGGGTGAAGGTGGAGGCCTTGTGCAAGATCAAAGAAGCAGACACTAAGAGGTTTGTTTGGCGCAATGTTGTGACTCGATTTGGCATTCCCAGAGTCCTTCTCTCTGACAACGGTATGCAATTTGATGGGAAGATCTTCAAGAGATTTTGTGCTGACTTGAAGATAGAGTTCCGAAACTCCACTTCGGCCTACCCACAAGGCAATGGCCAAGCTGAAGTGTTTAATAAGACGATCATTGACGAGATAAAAAAACGTCTTGAAAAAGCCAAGGGTAAATGGGTAGAAGAGACACCGAATGTTCTCTGGGCTTACCGAACTACTTCTTGTCGGTCAACCGGTGAGACACCTTACTCTCTTACCTATGGGATGGAAGCAGTCATCCCTTTGGAGGTTGGCCTTCCTACCATCCGTTCTGAGATCTTTGAGCTAGCAGACAATGATGAAGCCATCGCCCAAGCTCTGGACATGGCCGAAGAACGTAGGGAAGCTGTCCTCATTCGATTGGCGGCTTACCAACAGCAACTCACTAAGAGCTTTAACAAGAATGTGCGTCCAAGGCAATTCCTACCAGGTGACTTGGTACTCAGGAAGATAATGGATCACAAGAAAGTTCCTGGAGAAGGGAAACTTGGTGCTAACTGGGAGGGGTCCTACAAGGTTACTTCAGCACTTAGCAATGGCGCATACTATCTGGCTGACTTATTAGGGAAGGTAATCCCTAGACTATGGAACGTCGCCAACCTAAAGAAGTACTTCCAGTGATGTGATTCTTAAGATGAAGTACTTACAGTAATGTATTTCTCAGAACATGCGTTGATGTAATCAAAAGTTACAAGTATCAATGAATGGAAATTTATTTTACAATTTGTCCTTATCTACTTATGTTGTACATTTATGCTTGATGGAGCAAATTGGCCACGGGTCTTAACTCAAGCCAATCTCGGATGCTCAACCCTTTGGTTGGAGTGGGGTGCCAAGTGGTATAACTTAGTGGAATTTCTGCCAAGTATCGTTACTTAAAGCACGGTCCATATTCACAATTCGCACTCGAAGAAGGGCAGAATTACACTCTACGAGGGGTTATATCATGCCAAAACTTGACCAAGTCAGGTGGTGGCCGAACAGCATGATAAAAAACTTTCACAATTTTTTCTCTACTAAGGCACGAAGCATGGTCTGACCGAACAGACAACCTTCTGAGCCACATAGCTCATGCTCGGCTGGGGGCATCAAAAACTCACTCAATTTTTTCTAAGGCACGAAGCCTGATCAGACCGAACAGATGGCCTGCTAGGCCACAGAGCCTCTGCTCGGCCGAGGGCAAACATTACATACAAGAAAAAATTGAAGATAAGCAGTTCAACACTTGTGAAAATGTAAGAATGAGTGCATTGAAGTGAAACTTCAATTATAAAAAGAGTTTGGCCTTACAAAAGAAGAGGTCCAGCCGATCGAACTCCATGACAAATAAAAAAGTACAAGTTGCAAGTTCAACACTTGGCAAATTTAGAAGGTACTTCTTTATAAAAGGGAGCTCGGTTTGTATCATAGCCTATCCAACCGATCATTAAAGCAAAAGTTGAAGATACTTCATTAACTTACAAGTTTCATTACAAAAGAACTACTAAAGCAGAAGTAAAAACAAAAACTCGAGGCAACCTAACAACTTACTCCTCGCGTCGTTCCTCCTCGTAGTGTCCATCCTCGCGGTGTTCATCCTCTGTAAGATTGATACTCTGCCTAACTAAGGAAGAGCTCGGCAGGAAAGGAGAAATGCCAGAAGGATCAACATCCGTAGCTTCATCCATTAGCAGCCCCAAACTAATCAGATATGGACGCGTGGTAGCTCGACAGTCAAGTAAGTACATCCGTCAATGTCGAGCTTGAAGTCCAATGGCAAGACGAAGATGGAGAGAGCCAATTCACTTATTCTGCACTGTTCTGAGTCTAATAAACTCTACTTGGCAATCACAGGGTATAAGATTTTGTTGAGATGTGAGAAAATACGAAACACATTAGAGTCATGTTTAAGCCTAATTCAAAATATGGTTCATCTAGTTATGGTTGCTCAGATATCAAGAATTGTTGACGATCTTAAGGCTGCCACTTTTACATTGGAATCCTCTGAAGACGAGGCTAGAATCATTTTACTCACATTGATCCATCAAGATAGAGCTGCATCAGATTCCGCTAATATATCAGAACTCAAGGCTCTTAAACTGGCAGCTTTAAGATTACATATTACCTCCCAAATGACTATCTTAATAGAGAAAAGGTCCCTTAGAAAGCTGTTATCTAAGATCCACGATACCGATCCAAACAGGGAGAAAATACTAAAATACCTCTTGTATCTTCTGAACAAGTATGGAAAATCAATTCGGGGATACCGAATGGCGAGCATTGTATCTCAGCACGACAACTCCCTTAGTCAGTCCATTAAGCCAGTACCAAATGTGGAAAATTCAGGAGGGCGTTCTCAAGTTGATGTGTTTGATACACCCGAACCTCCTGAAGAATTCAATTGCCCTCTCTCTGCAAGACTGATGTATGATCTTGTTATAATAGCTAACGGGCAAACATTTGAAAGGGTGTGGTAGTTCTGTAAACGATTTGCGCCTTCAAATCAACAACGTATCACTTTACTCTACGGATACATTTGATTCATTGGATGCCAGTACTGAAGATGATGGTGGCCAGCCGAGCGCGACACTGAAAAGATATAACCAAGCACAAATTGGAGATCACCGAGCAGCGTGAAAGCTAGTGCGAACGAAGCTATGGAGTAACGGCAACCAACCGAACTCATTCATCGATGGCGACGAACCAAGCTAGTGACCGAGCAGTGAATTTAATGTGATGCTCCTCTAAGGCTGAGCAATGGCAAACCCATGATTGAGCAACAGTCCAACCAAACAACAAAGGCCACGGAAGAAATATGCTGCTGGATATGAAAAGAGATGACCACCAAACGAGAATGAGCCGAGCAGAAATTGAGGCAGTGTCGTGCGTAAATTAAAAAGACAGAGCTGGGTAAGTCGTGCGTAAAATAAACAGGAATTGTTCGGCCCATCATGTGTCAGAATAGGCTTGACGGAGCAGCAATCCAACCGAACAAAAAAGATGACCAAGGAAGAAAAGTGCTTCTGAATATGAAGAAAGTTGATAACCGAGCAGAGGAGATGAAAAATGAGCCGAACAATTGATTTGCCAATTATGTTCAAACAAGATGGAGCATGACCGACCAAGCACTGAGCATCACTTTTTCATTTCTTAAATGGAACCGAGCAAACAAAATTTATTGTTGCCAATCCTGGTTGGAAAATGCATTAGAGCATGTTAGACAATTAGTGCAAAAAAGTGATCAATACGTGGCCTACCAAACATTTCCATAAGCAAACTTATAAAATTTGACTTGGAGTACCAAGTTTGTAGGGCCCACATCTATTTCACCAAGTGCAAAACAATACCAAGCACCCAACAAGTAGCATTGGCATAATATTACCATGCATGGCAATCAAGGTGTGGCCCACAAGGCATTACCCATTAACATTATCAAAACAAGATAAAAGTTGGCTATGATAAGGCATGCTTGGACTGCTGTGAAGCAGATTGTATTGCTCGGTCCAATTGTTCAACTTTAGAAATATATATATATATACCCACCCAAAAAAAAATTTGTGTATATATATATTTTTAAAAATAATTTTTTTTTTGTGTGTATATATATTGTTTCAAGTCAAGCAACGACGCTTAGCCGACTGAAAGAGCACCAAGCTAGAAAATTACGAGGCTAATGAAGATACACATTTAGTTTGGGGGCATAACCGAGCTACGAAATATTGGGCAGATGCAAACGTTGGGCCGAACAATAATTTTGAATCCAGCTCACGAAGCTCAAATTAAGTTGTGATCAACCAAACTTCGAAGTTTGTGACAGAATTGGCTTTCGCTTCGCCAAAAGTAAGCGCAAGCCAGGGGCCAAATGAAGTGGGTAAAAATTAATTAAGTCTTGGTGCTAGGCCCAATGCGATGCTCACTCCGAGATTGAGCTAGGTTGGACCTCCGCCCTATGGCCAACACTTGCTCCGAAGCAAGACAATCATAGGAGCTCGGCCCAATGTACGAATGTTACTCCAAAGTGGGCCGAGCAACATGGTAGACCTCCTGGATGGGCAGCCAACCACTCCGAAGTAGGTTGAGTAACATGTTGAACCTCTTGGATGGACAGACAACCACTCCGAAGTGGGTTGAGGAACATGTTAGACCTCCTGGTTGGACAACCAGTCTAGAGTAGGCCAACTCAAAGAAGGCCAATTCATTGAAGATCTTTCTTGGGCCCACAAGAGACAAACAACTCTGCTCCTCTCCCTCTGTATGAACAGAACGTGGAGACATGGAGGTGCAGAGGGATAAGGTGCATATATGACAGACCTACATCTGAATGACAGGCGGAGTGGTCGTCCTCTTCCAATGAGAGATGTCCGCTAATGAGACAAACAAAACAGACCTGCACCCAAGTGTTAGGCGGAGTGGTCGTCCTCCTCCAATGGGAGACGACCACGAATAAGACACATTGGACAGACGGCGGAGAGAGAAGGACTTGAACGGCAAACAACCTTTTTCTATAAAAGGTGAACACTATTCACTCTCAAGGGATTCGAAAATCCACACACTCAACACATATACACTTTTAGTATTCTTTTTTCTCTTTTATTCCTCTCCTTGAGTCCCTGATTTTACCATCGGAGGGGTTTCCGACCAAACCCCGGTCGGGCAGCCTCACTGTTTGTTATTCTGTGCAGATCTTCAATTCCCAAAGAACGTTGTTTATCCACGAAGTTCAATCCTTCTTCATAGTGCGTAAATCGCCCCCGCACATATATATACTAACATTTGATCCGTGCTATGCATGGGATAAAGCAATAAATTATTCATAAAAAATAATAATTATGACACTCATTTTTTATTATTTCGTCTCTCATTAATAAGTTTTATTTGTAAATCTAAACGTATACAACTATAAAAAAAATGGCATCAATGAATAAAGAGTATGATCTAAAAAATGAACAAAGGGCAATGCTACAAATATTACTGAATATATTACTAAAAGCACATATGTCCCAGCATTATTGGGTGTGTAAGTATTATTTTTTTTTTAACAACCAATTATATTAATCTCTTGTACTTTTCATGAGAGTGTTAGTATTTATAGAATTGTTCATGAATAAATAGTTTAATACTTAGGCTTCTTTCTATTGCCTCTTCAGCCTTGGTTGTCCCATTGTCCTTCCCTGAAGTTTCAGATAACTTGAACAATCCTTGATTTGGATGAACTTTCTTTTTTTCAGTAAAGTTCTTCAATTGAAGTCCCAAAATTTTATTCAATTCACAAAAATTACCACTTTTTTGTTGATATGGGCTTAAACCTCTATCTGGAATTAAAACCATCAACAATCATGAAAACACACTAAAACATGCATAATCAACCTATAACATATGCAATCAATAATAATAAACAATTAAGAAAAAACTAAAAAAATTATTGGAGACTTAGCTAAAACAAATCACAAAATACATAAATAATTTCTCTCGTATTTGTGATTGCTTTGAAATCTCCTTCATCTGCTCTTATATAGTAGGGTTTTCAAATTCTGTAGTGGCCTGCATCACAAATGATGAGGAGGTTGTGGAAAATAAATAAAACAAAATAAAAATATAGAAAAACAATAATGTTTGGTAGCTTAATTTTCATGGCTCGAATGTATCAAAACGATTACACAAATTCAAACTACTAAGCATTTTTGATAGAAAAAATAGAAAGTTTGAGATGATAGAATTACGGAAGAAGATTTCTCAAATGAAGTGAAACAAATAGGAAAAGATAGAACATTATAATGTGGAAATGTTATCACATAAGCTTTAAAAAAAATATTTCAAAGTGAAAATTTTACCAGATAAACTTAAAAAAATAATTTAAAAATTGACAATCTTGTGAGAGGATGAACATGGGACAGTAGAAGTGTGGGAGTGAGAATGTCTACCCTCTTCAAGAGTGATCAGGCAAGGGATATTGATTCTCATTTGTTTAGCTATTTCTCTACCCTCTCGAATGCGGATATTAATTCTCATTTGTTTAGCTATTTCTCTACCCTCTTCAAGAGTGATCAGGTAAGGGATTTGGCTCCTTCTCTTTCAGTAGTGGGGCATCTAGTCACTGAAGATATGAACCGGCGGTTAACCAAACTAGTCACTGACTTGGAAATCAAAGCTACTGCCTTCCAACTTGGTTCCTTAAAGACCCCAGGGCCTGATGGCTACTTGGGAGTTTTCTATCACAAATACTGGGATGTGGTGGGTGTAGATGTCTGTGAGGTAATCAAAACCTTTTTTACCACTGGTCACCTCCTCAAGGAGTGGAATCACACCAATTTAGTGCTAATTCCAAAGGTCCAAAATCCTGAGACACTTTCACAGTTTCGGCCAATCAGTTTGTGCAACTTCAAGCTCAAAATTGTGTCTAAAATTCTTGCCAACAGACTCAAACCAGTGCTTCAGAATATCATTTCGCCTCAACAGTCGGCCTTTGTTCCCGGTAGATTGATTGAAGACATTATTATTGTGGCCCATGAAGCTTTTCATCACTTGAAGCTGAAGAAAATTGATTTTAACAAGGCCTATGATCATGTTCAATGGGACTTTTTGCGAGCTATAATGGAGAAGATGGGTTTTGCTACTGTTTGGATTCAATGGGTTATGGAGTTAGTGTCCACGATCTCTTTCTCAGTGTTTGTTAATGGTCTCAAACGAGTGGTTGTAGTTCCTTCACGGGGTTTACGGCAAGGTGACCCTCTATCTCTCTACCTCAGCGTTCTCATTGCCGAGGGTCTGTTACTATCCCTATCTAGTGGGCTTCGTGAGAAGTTGCTTTCGGGAATCACAATGCAAAGAGGTTGCCCCACTATTACTCATTTATTTTTTGCGGATGATGCCCTTCTTTTCGCTAAGGCAAATAGGAGGGACTGTCAGGCTCTTAAGGAAATTTTGGATGTGTATAGCTATGCCTCTGGTCAGTGGATTAATTTTGAGAAATCAGGAATTATCTTTTCAGCAAATACACTTGACAATGTGAAGTCCAAAGTCAATGCTTTGCTGGGGATGTCTCCAAGTTCCTGAGGGACAAAATACTTGGGCCTTCCCTTGTTTTAGGGTAGATCGAAGTCAGAAGCTTTTGGTTATTTGATTAAGAAGGCAGTCACCGAGATGTAAGGCTGGAAGTAGAATTTGCTATCGCAAGCAGAGCGGAAAGTTTTGATTAAATCGGTGATTCAAGCGATCCCGGCCTATGCTATGGCCTGCTTTGCTTTTCCAAAGAAATTTTGTGTGCGACTTAACTCCTACATCAGTAACTTTTGGTGGGGGGGTGATCCACTGGACAGGGGTATTCACTGGACCAGCTGGCCTAGTTTGGCTTTGACAAAATCTTAGGGTGGTATGGGGTTCAGAGATTTTCATTCCTTCAATCTTTCCCTTTTAGCAAAGCAAGCTTTGCGACTCCTCAAGCACCCTCATTCTTTTGTGCTAAGGTGTTAAAAGGACT